TAACAATTCAAGTATTTAACGCCATCTATTTAGTTATAAATAATTTTAAAAATTAAACATTTTATTATTCATCTTGCAATAGATGTAATAAATTTGATATCTTTTCTTCTCTTTTTTACGTGTTTTTAGGAAAGCTATTTTTTTCTTTTTCTAAAAACAGTCTTGAGTTAAATTTTTAATACAAGTATATTTTTGATATTATTACAAACTATTATTATTTTAAGATATAATATATCAAGGTGGTGCGACAATATATAAAATCTTAATTGTTTCATCATATCATTCTGGTCCTTATTTTGTAGTTAGAAAATGTTTCATTTCTAATATGGCATTGCCGTGTAAATAACTCCAGGCTTCAATATATTTGCATAATTATTTCTTCCAAAGATTATTAGTGTTTTTATTTAATCAATTTATCCAACATAATAAATTCTGATAGTAGTTTACATCGTGAGTGTCATGGCTACTGCAAATTAACCAGCATCTATTATTTGTGTTGCTAAGTAATTTAAGATTATTACTATAACGGCTGAGAGCATATAATTGCATATTTTAGATAAACAATAATGGTCAACTGTGTAGTCGTTTATATATCATTTAAAATGGATGATAATCTTTTAGAAATTTAATATCTCACAATAATTTTCTCGATTACTTATCTAGCTTCCATAATGTCATCTAAGAGGAAGCTCTAACCACCATATAGTTTTATGATTTGGATTGGTCGTTTATACTCTCTCCTACAAAAATTATTGATTTTGGTTTAGGCCTATAAATTTTTCCTTATTAGTCCATTCTATAAAACTTTGTCTAAAATGGTTATAGAGAATTATACTTGTTTGATAACCTTTTGTCAATGTAAGTTGCTAAGAATTATATTATTGCATTATGTGATTTTTTATATGCCAGAATTTTCTCCTTTAAGGGGTATGGGGGCGAACCCCCTCCATAAAAATTTTTTTTAGTTGAGCCCCCTGAGATTGCGAAGGCTAGCGACGCCCCTGAGGTGATCATTTGGTAAAACTTTAACAAATAACAAATATTAATGTTGTTGTCGGCTATATTAAAATTTTAGCCAACCAAATAATACCTATGAATTTCGCCAATAGAGGACCATATCATTTTACCATTTATTAGCATAATAATCTCGAGGTCTATATTTGTTTAGCTTACCTATATTGATTTAACCGTTAGATTGAGTTGCATGACTACCACAGGCTAAATTATCTTATGGCCAAAATTACCTAATAAATTTTAAACTTTTTGATATTTTAAAGTAATCTAGAGTATAAATCTTTGAGCTAATAGAATTTCGTAAAAAATACTTTCCCTTTAAAAGAATATAAAAAAAACACAATCATACCACGATGGAAACTCAAATTGCTAAACAAAAATTTGTCGAATCTAATACAAAATTCACAAAAATTTCTAACATTTATCTATAAATAGCTCTTTGAGGATTTCTATCACCCTACCGTGTTACATCACATTTAATAAAATTCTGAAAATGTAAAATTAGTATACCAAGTGTCAAACTATACCTGAATTTATTTTAAAATAACTTAAAATTATAAGTCTTAAAATTAAAGGTGTTTTGCATCTATACATATCATTTATAATTTGAATGGATAATTTAACACGAAGGTTAAATAAAATATAAAAATAGTTTTAGAATACACAAAATATTAATGAGGTAAAGTCAGTGACGAGGCGTCCATAGAAGCAAGGGAAGCATTACTTCCATTGAAATTTTACTTATAAAATTCTTAAATAAACTTAATATAATCTTTGTACTATGTTAAATAAACTAAACTTACTTATTAATATAATTTTTATAATGTTAAAAAGATTAATATTATTTTTACTATATTAAGAAATACTATTATTTTTACTACGTTAAAAAATTTACTATTATTTTTACTACGTTAAAAAATTTACTATTATTTCTACGTTAAAAAAAAATACATGAGGGAAGCAGATTTAATATTGCTTATTTTTTTTAATAAATAAAAAGAAAATCATGCCATAGTATTGTGTAATTTTTCCATTCAAAAATAAGCTTTGGGGAAGCAAATAAAAAAATGTTTAATTTTTTTAATAAAATAAAAGAGAAAGAAATTTTTTTATATAATATTTTTTTCCTTACTTTTTTAAAATAAAAATTTTTTCGTTTTTAAATCCTTAATTAATGTTTAATAATTGTAATTTTATTATTGAAAATTTATTAACATTATCATTTAGCTCAAGAAATTTTGATGCGAAAAAATGATTATTAAAAAAGGAAGACTAAAACCAATTATACAAAACTTTAAAAAAGAAATCAAAACTTGCATCCGTAATTTTTCTATCGATAAATATGAAAAATGAATGGCTCACTGGATGTGAATTTTCTAATTCTCTATATTGTTGGTCATGCCTATTATTCCCAAAGAAAAAATATGTTTGGAATTATAAAGGATTTTCGGATATTAATAATTATTCAAAGGTAGTTAAACAGCATGAAGGATCAACCGCTTATTTGCAGTCGATGATTCAATTAAAAACATTTGGCCAAAATCGTATTGAAAATATGATAGATTCTATGCGCAAAATATCAATTGAACAGCATAATTCAAAAGTCAAATCAAATAGAGAAATATTGAAATTGATCAACTCTATATGTTTTCTTGGAATTCAGGAGCTTGCATTCCGTGGTGATGATGAATCTTCTAATTCAGTAAATAGATAAAATTATATAGAATTAATTTATTTGCTGGCGGAAGAAAATTTATTATTGAAACATAATTTAGAAAATAGTAAAGTTTTTATTGGACTATCAAGCGATATTCAAAATTGGTTAATAAATTCCATTTTTTTATACCAAAAAATATTAAATGTATTAGAAGAAACGGAATTTATATCAATAATATTAGACGAAACAACAGATATCAATAATAAATCTCAACTGGCTGTAGTTTTTCGATATGTTTTAAATAACGGGACATTGTATGAAAGATTTATTGAATTCTTCTATGTTACTATGCATCGAGATGATAATTCTTTTTCAAAATTTGTCATTAAATTCTTGAATGATAAAAAAATTATGAAAAAATTAATAGGTCAAATTACAATGGCGCAGCTGTTATGTCAGGCGATTCACATAGACTACAAGCGAAAATAAGAGACGTCAATCCTTCAGCACTTTATATTCATTGCTTTACCCATAAGTTATATCTTATATTATCAAAATCTTGTAACAAAATTAAAGAATGTAAGGTATTTTTTGCAACTTTATCTGATTTAGCCAGTTTAACATCTAAGCGAACAGCGGAATTTGGGAAATGTGTCAAAAAAAAATTACCATGGGTAGCCCCAACAACATGGGAATACAATCGTCAGCTGGTTCAAACAGTTTTCTATTATTTGAAGAATCTAGTCATTTTTTTTGAAAATATGATTGATGGAAAATCTGATATTGTTTGGGATAATGATGTTCTAATAATATCTTGTGGCTATTTAAATATATTGAATGATGCAAATTTTCTAATTTTATTATATTTTTTTCAAGAAATTTTTCGAGAATTTGATTTATTATTTGATATACTTCAAACTAAAATTAACGATATATCTTATTGCCTTAAAAGTATTAACGATTTCAGAAATTCAGTTAAATCAAACATAGAAAACTTTGATGTGTTTTGGAGAAATAAAAATGTAAAAAAAATATTGAAGACAATTTAAGATAAAAAACGTAATAGACCCAGATTGCCCAATACAAAAGAATTTTATAAAAATTTGATAATTAAAATAACAGATAATATAATCAATGAAATTGATTTTCGGTTCGATACATTAAAAAATATCAAATTCGTCGAATTGTTAGATATTAGTAAATTACAAATATTTAATCAAAATTTCCCAAAATATTTATAGATAATTTAAACGACACTTATTCTCAATTTTTTGACTTACACAATCTGGAAACCGAATTAAAGATAGTATTTCAGAACGATGAATTTAGAAAGAAAAAGAATATTAATGAAATACTTGAATTTTTATTATGCACCGATTTGATGAAAAATTTTAGAATTTTTCAAATTATGCAAATTCATCTTAACTTTGGCTTCAACAACAGCAAGTGCGGAACTGAGTTTTTCATCTTTAAAAAGAATCAATTCTTATTGCAGAAACAGGATGGGCCAAAATAGATTATCGAATCTATCTTTGATTTCGATTGAAAAAAAATTATTAAAAAATTATTAAAAAATTTAAAATCTAGCGCTAACTTGTATATTGCATAATTAATCATTTCACTCAAAAACAAAGACGAATATAACTTATTAATAAATCTTAATGTTTTTATGGTTTGAGTTTGACTTAAATAAAATAAAAAAAAATTTTTGATTGCTTACCTATTAGTGAACTTGACGCTTCGTCACTGGGTAAAGTTAATTTAATGATTGCGTGACATAAAATTTCAACTTTTACTATTTAATGACCAAATATATAATTAATCAATATTTTAATTTATTAATATTCCTATTATATAACAGAAAATAATTGGGGTTTCTAAACTATAGAATAGTTTTATAAACCAGAGTTAAATTTAACCTTAACATTATTCCCATTTACCACAAATTGCGTATATACAACAAACATATTTAAAGAAAAGTGATTTATTACTTGAATTGAAAATAAAATTAAACAGATAACTTTATGCACTTAATCTTATATTTATTAAGTTTTGTTCATTAAATATTAAAATTATTGTTATAATTTATACGAAATCATTCCTAATTAATTGGTGTTAAGAATATAAAATTATTTAACAATAGTTAGAATGGTATATACCATTGGTTAGACGTTGTAACATATATATTTGTGAAGAATAATGTTAATATAAATAATTATTTTTGGGATACAATATATTTATCCTTGATAACCGTAAATTATATTTTTTCAAATCGAATATTTTTATTCAAAAAATGAAATTGATGAATTTAAAAATATATAATTTTTCGAAACTTAACAAATCAACTAAATAAACTTCAAACCCTCCATTTTATAAAAATCAAATGGGCAAAGAAGTAGCAGGACGTATTTTTATAGGAAATCTTGAGAGAAATGTAGATGAAGAAAAGCTTACTGATGTTTTTTCCATTTATGGAAAAGTTGTCGATGGTAAATATCTTTTATATGATTTAATAATAATATAAAATTAGTGGAAATATTAAGAAGTAGAGAAACCAAGGAATCGAGAGGTTTTGGCTTTTTAACCTTTGAAACTAATTTAGCAGCAGAAACAGCTATTAAAAAACATACTGGAAAGGTATTTATTATTATGATTCTTTTTTATATTCATATATTGATGAATTAAAATATTTTTATAAGAAACTGAAATATTTTTACTTTCTTTTTTAATTCATATATTGATGATAAATATTTTTACAAAAAAGAAACTGAAATATTTTGACATTTGGAGCAATTTAATAGCTAGATTTAGGTTGACAAAATTTGATGATGACATATTGAATTATTTTCACTGATATTTCTGTAAGGATAAGCAATTTTTTAAATTAAAATACGATTTTAGCTCTTAATTAAAATTGCACTAATTTATTAAGCCATTTCTATTGCATATTTAATGGATAGTTTTTTTCATTCTAAACTGTTTTAGATAATACTGATATCCATTTTTATATAGTAAAATTTTAATCCCAAGTTTATATTTAAAATTTCTTACAAAAGATGCTGAATGGCAGAGCAATTAGATTGGCAACAGCTATTAAGCGTAGAGATGATGATGATGACAAGAATTCCCCAGGAAACAAGAGGGGTAACAGGAAATCATCAAACAGAAGATCAAATGAAAGAAGGAGAAGCAGAAGTAGAGATAACTATAGAAGGGGAGGATATGATGATAGCCCTCCAAGAAATAGGAGGAATCGGAGAGATGATAGAGATGACTTTGCTGACAATAATAGGTAAGGCCTGTAAAGTTAATATTGTGTATTGTAGTTTTTCTATAAGATATTAATAATTTTTAGTAGCTAGTTTAAACAGTTTCTTAGACAAGAAACCTCTAACATGTAGAATGGTATGAAAATTTGTCACTGACATTTTTGGTTTCTGTCCTCAGTTTACATATTTAGTATCTTATGTTTTACTTCAGAAGGTGTAACATCATTGGCTCAGAGGAGTATAGGAAGGCATCCTGTCCATTTGCCTATTAGTTCCTTTAAAATATTTGTCTTAAATACATTAATTTGTGATATACTCAAGATTATTATATGCTATATAATTTGTTTGATACACAGTTTTAGATCAACAGTTATGACATTATTGTAATTTTTAAGTGCTTTATGCTAGAATTTATGTGCTTAATCGGGGATGCCAGGATACAGATGTTATTGACTAATTTTGCTGAATAGCTCTTTATAGCTGATTTTTAAAAATGGTAAACTCAGAATTTTAGGAAAAAAGATTACTCAACCTTGGAGATTTTGCTTACATGGCAGGCAGAAAGATTAGGTGGCAAAATTTCAATATATTAAAATTATTTAGAATTTCACAAAATAGTATTTACCTTGAATATTTTGCTTATAGATGGCAGAAAGATTAGGTGGCAAAATTTCAATAGACTAAAATTATTTAGCAATTTTTAAAAATCAGCTAAATTGAGCTGTAACAACATTATTTTACTTTAAATAATTAAAATATACTCAGTTATGTTATGAACTTTAAAAAATTGATATACATCTAAAACTAATAAAGAATCAATTTAATATAAGGAATTGTAGCCTTGCAAAATTGCTTTAAAATCATTGAAATTTATCCACAAAAGACAAAATAATTAGTAATTCATAACTCATCTTCATAAAAATGTTTAACTTATATATTTTAAATAAAAATTTAAATATAAGCCTAATAATAAATTATTATCTTGGGTAAATAAATAAAAAATGTTGCTGATTCCAGTGCTATATATGTGATATCAATTCAACTCTTATTTTTATAGTTATCTTAATCTCACTCCTGGTATGTCATGATATATTATTTAAGTAGCTGTAATTTCCAAAGTTTCTTTTCATGATTATAGCTAAGTATAGTCCTACTTGATATTGATCTAATAACATTGTATTCACTATACCTTGGGATTTCAGAAAATTTGGTAGGCTACCTGTAACTTAGCAAAATATCAATTTTTCTCATAAAAGCAAAATTATTATCAGAATTTTTTTCCATCCAGATATAGATTGGTGCTTGTGACATTAACCTAAAATTTTAAAATTAAACTTTAAAATGAAAATATATTAACATCATTATTTATAATTCTATAGTTTTTAGCAAATCCATTATCTTATGAAAATTTATAAGATTGATTTTAAAGTCTAGATATCTTAAAAATGTTTAATCTTGGATGATGAAATTTGAACATGCATAGTTATTTTGACATTAGCTTCTATTAATAATTTCACCCAAATTATAATTGGGTCTAGGAGAATTGTTATTAATTTAGTATGGAATGAGGTTGAATTTAAACCTGAAAAATTTTAAATTAATAAATTATTTTGAGAATATGTAACACATCTAAAAGGTAATGCTACTTTTATTATTACACTCAATCTTAATTACTTTTTTCAATAATGTCACGAGCTATATTTAATAATACATCAACATCCCTCTGCTAAAGCAATGATTTTAATGCAAATCAAAAGAAACTTTTATTTTACTCCACAGCTATTTTTATCTCAATTATTATATTGACTGTCTATTATCCTTTTATTGATAAAATTTAAACATATTCAACAGGATGCCTACTGGCTTGAGAGATATTAACGATTTTCTCTCCAAATCCAACATTCCCAGTTTATTGGGGCAAAACAGCAATAATCCTGCCACCCTATTAGCAGCCATGCTTAGCAATAAAGCTAACCCAGGTAACCTGAATGCTGGTAATCCCATGCAAATGCTCCAGAATTTACTTGCATCTAACAATCTCCTTAACCTTAATAGTGGAGCATTGTTATCCAATACTGCTGGTGTTAATTCCTTGTTGGGAGGAGGGGGTATGGCAGCAAACAGTAACCCAAATGCCATGCTGAGTAACATTGTATCTATGTTGAGTATGGGGACTGGAGCAAATAATCCTGCTAACCTTGGTAATTCCTATTGATTTAAGTTATGTTCCTACTGGCAATATATATTACATCATATTATGATGAGTAGGTCTCTAATTTTGTTGATTATGTATTGCTTGTGATAATATTTAAAATAACTAACTTATAATATAAAATATTTTAGCACTATCAATGTTGATTATTAGCAGAGCCAAGTTTTGAGCATATCAAATATTAACGCTTCACTAAAGCCAAACCTGGTTAGGCAATCCCTAAAAATATCTTTGAATTACAGACCTTTAATTTTTTTAAATTATAAGACTGATTGTTGATGGTTTGTGTGCTTATATAGTTTTTATGTAAATTTTAAAAATTATAGGTAGATAATTCCATGTCAATTTGATTTTTTATATGGAATACAAATTATTGTTTATTTAACTCATATTTGGGCAAAGTATAAGCTTGATTATACTTTTGGAGATGGCAGAGATTCATATTGCAATAATTATCAGTTTGACTTGAATTCTGGTTCTTATAAAAATTTGTGCAGGGTTTTATTTGATTTTAAAGAGCAATTAGATCCCTTCTTATATAAATGGCATTTACTAAATGATCAATCAAGATTGAATGATAATCTTTAAAAACATTTGGATATCAAATGGTCTTTTCTAGAATTTTAGATTTAAATGACAAAATTTTCAATGGTTAGGTTTAGATTCATTAAATAATACAGATTATAAGGCTCAAATTTGGGTTGGATCCCTGGGTAGAAGCATAAACTCTTTTTATAAAAATTTATTATTAAAATAATGTGTTGTTGCCTGAGAATTAGGTTATTTATTCTATATCTACTTTTTACCAAAAATGACTTCTACATAAAACAATTTTTTATAATTATACCATTTTATTAACATGGAAAAATCTGAAATATTTATAAAGTACTCAAATTAAATTCGATACATGTTATCCATCCTTATAGATTTACAGTGGATTTAGGATATTCTAATTCTCAAGTAACTATATAAGAAGTTTAAAATTTGGGCAATTTTTCCCATAACAATATTTAAAAATTTTATATAATGGATTGGTAACTCCAATTTAAATAATTTCAAAAGGCCCTTTTGCCATTCTATATATATATAAAATAAATTTAGGGAGGAGCCTTAAGTTCAAATCATATTGATAAAAATTTTAAAATAAAAGAAAAACATTTTATATTTGTCTTAGATTAAATTTTTTATTAATTTAAATCCAAGTTCTGAGGCATTGGATTAAGCTGTGCAGGTAAAAAAATAGGTGTTATCTTCATTACTCAATAAAAGCATATACGATGTATTTTAAATATTAGAGGCCTGTACAGCTTAGTTTGAAAGTTGTACTTAAATTTTATGGGCCAAGCACAAAGTAAAAATAGACAATTAATCTATATTAGAAAGTTAATCTTTATGTAAATAATTTTTATAAATTGTAAAATGGTAGTAAGTTTTTTTAAAATTTTAACAAAATTAGATTTAGGAGAAATTGCCTTAATTATTCAAATATACATTTTATTTTAATGCTAAATTATTTGTTAACAAAAATAGTTTTAATCATTAATTAATTAAATAAAAACCGACATTTAAAAGCTAGTTTTATATCTCACTCCAAAAGTATATCAGCCAATAGGCTGAAATGTTGTTCAAATATAGGTTGCACAAACCTTAGTTGTAAACAAATAGAAATTAAATGGGGTCTTCCAAAAATTATGTTTTTGATTAATTTAACATGGAATGACTTATTTAGTTAGATCTATTTTTTGGAATTAGATTTTTTAGTGAATTATTAATTATAGGTATTGTTATCTTATACTGCCCATAAAACATTGCATTTATATCAGAGACCTGCAGAGGTATTTGTACAGCCTGGCCCAGATTTTTTAAAAATATAAATTTTGCTCTCCCCTCCACAGATTTTTTTATTTGAAACGTTTTCGGCCCAGCCTGGATTAAAAAATTGCCAGGCCCAAATATACTTAAAAACTAAAATACAGGTTAGACCTGCAGGTTTCTTATTTATATTAATCAGGAATCTATCTTGTCTACAGGCCAAATTTCCAGACAATTGAATTAGGAAATATTTTTTTTCATTGTAAAAATAATTACAGGCCAGGCTATAGAATGTGTAGCTAATAATTTTATAAACCTGGCCATACATGTTGATTAAAGCTTTGTTGGATTTGTTGAGTGTTTTTGTAACTAGTTGAGCAATTATTTACAAATCAGGATGAGTACCTATTGAGTCTTTAGATGGAATCAACTCCTTTAATTTCTATTAATATAAGAGCTATGATGCCATAATGTTTATACTGCAGTCATGTACTAAGTTTATTACAAAATTTCACCTAAATACCAAAGGGTCTCATGAAAATAATTAGCTTGGAATGGATATGGCTCCATGGTGAACTGAACTGTTAATAAACCATGAAGAGATAATTTAATGAAGTGTGTCAAACTAAATTTTTGAAAAGAGTCAAACTTTGATGAAGTATTTTGGTGTACTTGATCTTAACTGTAATATAGAAATACTGCCCACTAAAACACTCACTAATAGATCCAACATGGCTGATTTAAAATGTGGAAACGTATAAATTGCAATCAATATTAAATAATTTTATGATGGCATAAAACGCAAATTTTAATATTTATTTTTTTAGATAATGCAACTTATTAAATAAAATGTTAATCAACCCACATTATAATATCCAAATAAATTAGGAATGATGAATAAAGCCAATACTGGTAATAATTTTGCAAGCTTTACAGGACTTAGTAGTAATCAAGGCATGTCAGGACTTACTGGTAATCAAGGCATGAATATGGGTGCAGGAGGGGGTATGCTTGGCCCTGCCCCAAGCAATACCATGATGGGGGGAGGTGGTATGATGGGTGAGTATTTACATGACTAAATTGCATATGAAATATATAGGATCATCCCATATCAAATGAAACAACTGAGCCCATTTTTCAATTTTTATAGAAATTTATAAGCATGTTCAATATAGAAACGAAATTTTATCTTGTTAAAATTTACATTATTTGAGATAATTGGAATCTAGGCTATAATTAACCTTTTTTAACCCTTTAGTCACTGTTAAATAATTAGTTGTTAATTAAAAACTATCAATTTGTAAACTTATTCTATATAACGAGCTAAAATTTGATTGTTAATCAAACTTGAACATGTATGAAATGTTACAATTTTTATTGAAAATATAAATGGTAGAAAATTTCAATTTCTTGCTTATTTGACATTTACTTTATATCACAATAAAATATTAATTAATTTAGGAGGCTATGACATGAATGGTGGATCATCTATGATGAATAAAAGCAATGGTGGTAATAATTTTGCAAGCTATGCAGCACTTAATGGTAACCAAGGCATGAATATGGGTTCAGGAGGAGGTATGCTTGGCTCTGCCCCTAACAACATGATGGGTGGAGGTGGTATGATGATGGGTAAGTTTTTGATTGTATATGAAACTGATAATTTTTGAATTAGAAAGATTGTCAGATAAACTGCCTTTTATTAATTTATTTCATATAATTGTAATATTTGAAGCTGTTGGGCTGGTGGAGATTAGTGCAGGATGATTTATTTAATTATTATGCTAATAATTTATTTAAATGGCTGTTATGAATTTGATCCTTAGTTTAGACAATATTTAGCAAGGTTATCCAGCAAGGGCAGTGTATTTCAAGCATTGTTCTATCCTAAATAACTTGCTAAACTAATAGAAGTTAAAGTTTGACCATCCTAAATCATTAGTTTTAGATTGGATAAAATGCTTCTTACATTTTTGTATTTTTTTTTATAGTTTTACTTAGACTAAAAAATTCTAATTTCTAATAACACAAAATATATGCTGCTTTATTTAACCCTTTTTATAATCAATAGGAAACGATAATTTTAATGATCTAGAATATGATTCGTTTAGTTATCGTAGAGATGCAGCAACGAAAAGAGGTTATCTATAAACTTAGTAAAATTTTAATTATAGTTTTATATAAATAAGGTTGGCATGATTAAATCAAATTAATATAATTACGACGATTTAATATAAAATTATGATTTAAATGCTTTTATTCAAAATTTTTATTTGTTCAATATGAACATTTTATTATTAATTGGTAAATTTTATTATTATAAATTATATGTTGTGTTAATCCTGAAATATCTATTTTTTGGTATAATAACTCAACATTCTTATTTAATTTATTTTTCTCCAAGTAAAATTAATTTTTAATTTGATTTCATTTTTGCCAACCCATAAAATAATCGAGTTATATATTAAATTAGTTGAATCTTGAGGATAAAATTATTAAACCCTAAAATCTAGTCATTACTAACTAGTGAAAATTACAAACCAATAATTATATCTTAATTTTTAGATTATGATTTTTCTGATAGACGTTTTAGTCCTGACAGAAGGGATAATAGAAGACGATAATTTTATAAATTCATGTTATATATTTATTATTTTAAATATCCTCTGTATTTTTTATATTATATACAAAACTATAATTTTGGGTATAGTAATATTTGTAAATATATTCTATTTTATATTGTATATTATTTAAATAAAATATTTTTATCATTTAATGGTAAATTATGCATATTTTATTTATCTTCATTTTAAAAGTTTTGAAGTAAAATTGTACATTATATTAATTTTTTAAAAGCAGAAATCTTATGATCCAAATAATAACTTATGTAAGAATTAACTCTAGGATTTTTTGGAATTTTTATCTTATAGCATTCAAATGTTATATTAATTACTAAGTATAACTCAATTTTATAATTTTTTAGTTGTGTATATAAATATTTTTATCTTACTGGAAATAATGATGATCTTAAATTCAAAGTAAATATAGCAGTAAAGAAAATTTTTTATTAGGTATGTTGTTAGTTGCCTTTTGGCTATCATGGTAAGATTCTCAAAATCGAGCTTATTTTCTCTTCAAAAATTTAGAACATCAGTGTCATGTGAATTATTGATCTGCATCAAGCATTGCCCTATTCTGATCGCAACCAGGCAATAGTGTCGCAATTTTTTTTAACTATATTTTTCTTAGGTGAAATAATTATTAGTTATGCCTTTCTAGTTCACTTCTGAAAAGTAATGACAAGTATAATGCAGGCCCTTTTTGTTAATATGGAATTTCAACTATTTCCTTAAATTTCGAAAAAAAATTAATAGTTATTCCGAGATCTGACTTAATAGTTTGAGATAGAGATAATTTTTCAAAACATTAATTACTTTCAGTATGCGAGTCTAATTAATACACTATGCCACCTGGTATTTTTTTTATTAATAAAATTACCTTTATTTTTACTAAAATCTTAATTAGGGCCATTTAACAACACTACATAGCAATTATATCAATTTAGTTTTTAACCTACTTTTCTTATTCAAATTTATATCCTAAAATAATATATAAAGCTAGATATTTATTATATAATATAAAAATAAATTCGTTTTAAATCCCTCCATCCATCGTTCATTATCAAAATATATTAGTAATACTTACATGTGTAAGGATTCCTTTTCAAAGTCACAATCAGCCAATTTATAAAAATTAATCATTACCATATCTATATTTAATTTATGTATGAAATCTGTATTTGTTAATCTACAATCATATGATGAAATTCAAATTATATTGAGTGTTTCTATAAGATAAACCCAAAGTGATGACTTATGAAAAATGCTTTTATGTGGATTGTTTTGTTAATAAATATAAGTTAGTGTAACTTAGCAAAAATAAATATACTATTACACAATAGAACATAGATATTATTCCATATATCAGAATTTGTGGCTCGCAAGTCAGTAATAGTTATAAACCTGAGCTATACTTATAATATAAAAATGAATGGGAGGCTCGACTACTTGGGATATGATATAGCTTAACAAGATGAAAGAACAAGCAATGAGATTTGTGATAAGTTTACGTAAAAGTATAAATTAGAAGATTTCTTGAGGATATCACTTGAACATATTATTTTAGATAGAGCGTTTCATTTACACTGAAAAGATCAATTGTGTAAAAAAATTTAAAATTAAATAAGAATTTTGAATTATAGATGTCCTGAAAGGGGTTTAAGTATAAAGATATAAGGGTTTCCTGTTGCAACACGATAAGGTGAAAGCATGACTGACACCCATACATAATTGGTTTGTCTCATGATAAAAATAAGAGGCTGGCACTTCTTTGTACCAAATAGTACAGTAATGAGCCCACATGGGATTCAACCCTTTGCCCAAAATAATAAAAAACATGAATAAAACTAAATATAATCCCCTGCCAAAAATAAATAGGGGATAAGGATATTACAAAATACTCCATAATCACATTATTCCTAATATAGTTATTAAAGTTTATAAGGGATTTTATAATCATATATGGAGTATGAACCAATTTTAGCTTACCTTATTTTAATTTTACTACCTAAGACAGAATACACATCAATAACCTTCGTTTAATTGTTTTATTAATAAAATAGTTATTTTAATTAAGAATTTGAATTGCGTAATGTTATTTTTTCGTAAAAAATATGTTCTGTGATATTAAAAGTGATGGAAATAACATAAATTGACTGTTACAGGTATGGTAAACAATTATCATTTAATATGAAAATACTTTCAATTTCCCCAAATCTTATTGCTTTCTTATTTTTAGTCGCATTGCATGAGTTTTAATTATTGCATTGAAGCTGCAAATGAAATTATAGAATATAATTTTAATTTTACCTTTAATACTATAAAGGTTTTATACTAAACTTAATAATTTATTATATTTTATTTGATGACTCTGTTTAATTATCAAGACTTATAATTTCTTCTAAAACTAAAGTGAGTTATTAGCCAAGTAGCTCTATACTATATTAAAATTAGGCAACGGGTATCCGAATTCTCAATTGATTTTGAAAATTAGAATAAAATTAAATCAAAAAAGGAATATATTATAAAACAACTTTAAACAATTAAATTATTATTTTCATTCCAATCGTTAAAATAACTATATAATTCCTCGGCTCTTATAGTATACAGTGGGTAACTAATATAGGTATTGCTAATTTTGTAATCTACCCATTGACAATACCTAAACCAAGGAGTCATTATTGAGTATCCCATGATTTTTATGTTTTTGTAAATAGGTTTATCTGAATCAGTTTGAGTTGAAATAGAAGGTCGCGGATATTGCCATCTAGCAAATGATATCCCATATACATATTTAATCAAGTCATAACCGTCCCCCCTTCGATGAAAACTATTCACCTTGTTTTGATTGATAGCAAGTCTATGTGAATTAATATTAAAGTCCAATAAATTCATAGTATTATTATAATAATATTTTTGCCAATTTAAATTATTATTTTGAAGTAGTAGGTCTATTATAATCGATGTTTTTAAAATATGCTTATCGATTTTACTAAATGCGCTAATGTAATTCGCCAGACTTTTACCTTCCGTACATAATTTTTCTTTATAAGGGTTATTACATCTTGGTATTATGTAGGATTTATAGATATTTGTCATGGTATAATTATGATTATTATGAAATGTCATATCTATTAATGTTGGGAAAATGTCTAACAATTCAACTAACATATCACTCTGCCTCCCACCATGAACATCCAATGATGTTGGAGATTCACTGAAAGCCTTCGGCAATGAAACTATTAATGGGACGTGATTGGAAATCCTAAAATTATTATATTTTTCCCATTCCTGATGTTCCCCTATTTTAAAATAAATTTAGTCATATAAAAAATTTAAACCTAGTTGCCAACCATGGTCGCTAGTGAAAACAATGATAGTATCATTAAATAGAGAGTCTTGTATAAGCTTTTTTATGATTTTACCAACCAATGAATCGATATATGTGATGCACGCAAAATAACTCTGAAGCAGCAACCTCTAAAAATTAAGGTAGAGCAAAATGCTATATAAGAAATAATAATATATATTTTGTATTATTGAGCACAAATTCATATTGTCCTAGCCCTACTGAATGTCAGACTTCCTACGTCCAGCCTTTGGCTGAGACTTGTCAAAGACATTATATCGGAAATGCCTTTAAGTCCAAACCAGTCAATTTTTCCTTATAATTTAGTAATGGAAACATATTTTATTTAATTTGTATTATATAATTTATTTATCTACTTCATAACATTATAATTATAATAAATAAATAATATATATTTCAAAATTTATTATTAATCGTTTCATGTTCTTGTGCCAAGCCCTTTCCAAACAAAGATGATCTAAATTTTAAACTGAGATTTGCGCTAACTGTGAATTCAGGCTTAAACCCCCTTTTTTTAGGTGTAAAGTTCGGCTTGTAAGGGCCTATTAATATTGTTCTCTTTCCATACTATAAGAGCATTATCATTAATTTATTTTTCAATTTAAAATAAAACTTCTTATAATTATTAAAATTTCAGAGTTTTTTTTCCCTGCCTTTTTTAAAAGACGTCGTCATAAATAGGTCATATTAGGACGAAACGGATGTTTCTGTGTTTGATCTTTTCTCTCTCTCTATATCTGTATATATATATATATTATCCCAGGTCTTTTTTGACTGGTTTGCAGCGTTCGTTATATAATAAAAAAAGAGATTTTTTTAAGTATCAGGTTTGTCGCTCACATGGTTAGAGATATGGACTAAATAAATGAAGACTCGGGTTCTATTCACACAAGAACATCCTTAATCAACTTCTTGGTCGGGGTTGATTAAATATAAGAGGTCAGAAGAGATATGAGTTAAAGTTGCCTTGAAAGACTGGAAGGATAATATAATATAGGATGGATTGCATCCCAAGGATACTACAGATGTTTGTCTCTCTAAGACTCTTTTGCGGACGCAGCTCAAGGACCAGCGCGTTAAATTTAATATAAAAGAAATTTTTATTAGTGGCGGTGTCTCTCACAAGGTTAGAGGTTTGGAGTGAAGAACCGACTTCCAGGACAATATTTATTCTGAAAATACCCTCTTGGATAAGGTTGGAATGGAATACTGTAAAAAAAGGTTTGAAGGGATATGTGTGTGTTAAAGTTTTAATAAGAATATTATAAATAAATAAAATTTTAATTTTATGACTAAATATTCAAATTAATATATAATCATATATTATGGGCGTATCCCAAATTTTTTCTAAAGGGAGATTATAAATTCAGGAAAAAAAATTGCTATTATATATATTCGATTTAGAGTTAAGCAATACTGATACAAAAAATATAGTATCTATTAATCAAACAGCATAGGAGATTCAATAGAAATGGATAAATGCTAAGAAATTCGAATTAAATGAATTATATTTTACGTCAGTTCGTTACATGAATTATTTTATGTAACAACAAACTATAACCTATGTTTATAGTAATTAACTGGTTCCTTAATGGGAACCAAACTGACAAATAGTTGACCCTTGTATTTTATTTGTTTGTAAATAGATTTTTTTTATCATTATAAATGGAAAAGAATTAAATTATAATAAAATATAAAATAAATCACCTCCTACCTAAATATAGATATTGGGTGAATAATGATAGTAGGAAATAATTAAAGTTAGTTATATATAAAAGTGGTGAATATTTATGAGCTATGTATACGGTGCTTATGCCTTTAATTTAGCAGGCGTTTCCAGAATTCTGCCAAGGGGGAGGGGTAAATACTATTCTTTTAGGGTTTTCCCTTTAAATTTTATTATTCAGGCCTTTGGCTATGTTACAGTTTTTCTATCAAATGATTGTTTATAGGGATTAAATTTGTATATATTTTTGGGGGAGATGAGGGTGTATAGAGGGAGGCAAATTTCCAAAATGAATATCTAACCCCCCCCCCTCCCCCTGATGCCTATGGGATAGCTTGTATTATAAATATTATAAATTTTTTCTATACAGGTTTGTTTAGTTTTTAATTTGAATTTATAAAAATTGTACAAACATATTAGGCCAGGGGAAAACTTTTAAATCGTTGCCTCCGCCCCCCCCCCTCCCCCACACGGAAATGCCTATCATTAAAATATTATAAGTTTAAAAAAAATATGGCGTTTAATAATATTTAAATGTATCAAAATATTTAACCTGTACATCGTTGGGCAAGTAACCAAAAGGAAAGGATATATTTAATCTCTTTATGTCATCTCTAGATTGTAAAGATAACCATGGATTCCACGCTACTTCTGGTAAATTAGCAGGGTAATATGGATTCGAAGGTAATATTATCTTATCGAGCGGGTAATATCCTTTGCATTGTTATCGATAACATTTGTATATAGTAATATGTTAAGTTCTTCCTAATTATATACATTTCTCTATTTTTTTTAATCATTATATCATAGAATAGAAAAAAGAAGATAGCTAGATTAGTTCATATATAAATTAAATTAATTCGAAATCAGATTACCTAAATATACTTATATACTAGATTTTAATAAAACAAAATAGAAATAATAGCACTTTTGTAATTCTTGGGATATTTTAAAGGGAGATGAGGTTTGTGAAAACCTACAGCCAAGAAAAATGGTTTCTTGTACATATTGTTTTCGGGGCTTTTACGAGATTTGGATATCTTCGATAAAATTTTTATCGCGTGCTTAGCCATCTCAATATCTGGCAATGTTTTCGTGGGTTGAGTATGAACGTCCACTGGGCAAATAGCATTGCGTTTTAAATGATTAGTCGAGTTGACTATGTATACGTGCATACATCATAAATATGATTTTTTTTTAAAAAAAAATAATAAAATTAATAAATATTTAGGATATTATTTTCACTGATAAATAACTTTCTAGCTGCAAAAATTCCAAATTATAAATCCAAAATAATTTTCAATCAGAATACATTTTAATTATATTACTTTCGAAAAAATCATTTTTCGTGATGTTTTCTTCGAGGTTATAATCGGAACATGTCTAAAAAATTTATAAGAATATAAAATATATTTAATCAATATGTAAAAAAAAAATTTATCTATTAAATTAATTAGTTGAGATCTTAATCAACTCTATCAACTTGTTTTCACTTTTCAGACTATTCAAAAATTTTAATTAATATTGTTTTTTTTATGAGGGGGTCAAAATAACTGTTTCGATATTCATTATATTATATATAAGAGAACCAGGCCAAGATTCTTGACAAGAATGCTATGATTCTAAAACTCCAGGACGAGTATGGGGCCTAAAAAAAATTTTCAATATAAGCCCAGAACAGGGGCTGAATCATGGGGAAAAAAATTAAACTATATCAAAACCATTTGAAGTATTATAAAGAGGGAATTTCTTTCAATTCCCTCTTTACAATCATAAACAAAATATAAGGTTATAATATCATTTTAAAAAATCCAGGCCCGTGTCGTAAAATTGATCAACTTTTTTAATGATCTGGGGCAGATCGGGCTTAAAAATTATAATACAATATTTATTCGATGTAATTACATATCTTCGAATTATTTTTTTAGAAAACTAGAGATATTGAGAGTTTAAAAGGAATTTTTATTGTCAACCAGTTAAAAAATAAGCGCATTATGAAATATTAGTTCTTAAATTTGTATAAATAATTTAGTGAGTGAGTTGGAGGATAATACGGAATCGTGAAAGAAATCGCTCTCAGAATCGATGTAATTGTAAGAAATATCACTTTAAACAAATCAAAAATTAGGAAAATAATTCAAGTTAGTAATTTAAAAATAAAATGTACCGGTTTATTCTCGTAAATTTCTGATGGTGGGTGATAGGGAGGAAGGCTCCAACTGTAAGGATAATCGTCGCTAAAATTAGACGCTTTCCCTAGATATGATATATTAAAATATAACGTTTTAACCCAAGATTATATATCGTTTAAGTTATAAAGGATTTTTAAATAATTGAAATTTTTTAAAAAAAAAACCTGTTTTATTGCAAATGAAAATATTTTAGAGTTTAAAATAATTATATAAATAAAAAAATATGTGTTTTTTCCGGTAATGTCATGTGTTATTTTTTTTCAAATTTAATTCATTTTTTTGAAGTACGTTTTTTTAAATTTAAAAAAATCGGATTTTACCCGAAATATTTACTATCATGTTTGGAATACCTATATTATGAAATGCACTGCTGTTAACCTTTGAGTCATTTATAAATTGTATAAAAAAATATATGAAAAATTTAATATATATTATATTAAGTTTAAAAATTCGCGGAAATATTGTTTGATAATTCGTAGGGTTCCAAACATGACGGCATACATTTCCGATAAAATCAAATTTTTTTAAATTTTAAAAAAAAATGGGCTCAAAAAATGATTTAAAGATTAAAAAAATCACACAATTCCGGGGAAAAAGACAATTGCCGCTAACATATATACCAATAATAAATATAAATTTTGCGTTTAGAAAATAATTTAAATTAAATTACCAGGATGAAATACTTTACCGATGGAGTATGTAAAGTAACCATTTTCCTTAAAGTACTGAGGCATAGTGGTGAAATTGCCTTCACTCGATACACGCCAATAGGTATGCAGATCAAAAACCTTGGTCCTTTCTGGCAATCTACTGGTAAAAATTGAAGCTCTACTAGGAGCGCATAAAGCTTGCTCGATGATGAGAAAAAAAGAAGAGATATAATGTTTTATATTTAAAACGAGTTTAAAAGCTGGATCTTTAGTTTCTAAAATGGGGCCAGAAATTTGAAATGTTAAATGAGAATAAATGCTGAAACAGGAATTAAGGAATAAAAACCGTTTTTTTCCGGTAAAACCTCTGTTTGATCTAGGGGGAAAAAAACAAGCGAAAAAAAACCTTGTTTTTTTTATTATTTTTATAACTATAATCCTTCTTGGTAAATGTCCCAATATTTTATTTGCGAATTTTTTTTGCTGCAAATTATTCATTATCACATTCACGATCATTTTGTATTGAGTTTATTTTTATTTATTTTTTTAAAACTAACTTTTTATAAGAAATGAATTGTTAATAATTATCGAATCTGAAATGATATTTAGGTTTGTTTTTATTTTGTTTTATTTAATTTTTTTTTTACATCCCTAAATAAGACAGAGATTCTTCACTATCTTAGTAAAAATTTAAAACCACAAAAATTAAATTTAAATATTAATTTTTTCGGGTAACTTTAAAAAAAATTAGCCAGATAAATCTTGCCTGAGCCTTGAGATTTTCCTTATAGAGTCCAGAACCTTTGTACCATCTATGAGCAAAATATTTAGGGCCCGCGTAAAATATTTCTGGGTAAAATATTGAGTTGGCCGTTTTATAAAAATTGGCTCAAATCGAACCTTTTAAAAAAACACTATATATCACGACCATAAATAAAACGAAATTTTATATATAAACCTGGGAATAAGCATTCCGGAACAAAATCCCTCGAGAAGCTAAATAATCCAAATTAGGCGTATGTACTTGTTCATTGCCATAGCAACCTAAATCAGGTCTCATATCATCGGCCATAATAAATAAAATATTTTTCCTTCCATCTATAAAAATTTAATTTTAGAGGTTGAAAATGAATCCTCAGCGAAAGCGAAGCCTTAATAATTATGTATTATTAAAGAATGCTTTCCGGTCTATAAAAGGAAAATAAAAATTCCCTAATGGGAAAAGAAAATATATAATTCAAAAAAAAAATGTTGTTTTTTGTTGACCCACCCGATTTTTAATTAGTTAAAGTAAAGTTTTGGCGATTATGAAGAAGTGTTATTTTCAATTAAAAAATATTAATTTATTAATTATCCCAAAAATCTTATTTTAGGATGTATAAAGTATCTGCACCCTGTGTGATTTCTAACAATTTTGCCATGAATTTCTTTAAAAATTTAGCCTTAATATATTAATATTTTTTTTTAAAAATATTATTTCGGCAAATATGTCTGAAATTCACATGGTAGTAGTGTTGTTAAACGGCTCGTTTTGAGCCGATTTTTAAAAATGGCTAACTCAATATTTTAGGCAGAAAAAATAATGCTTAAGCCTCGAGATTTCGCTGATAGATGTCTAGACCTCTGTACCATCTATAAGCAAAATCTTCAGATTTCGGTAATATTTTTCTGAAAAAAATATTGAGTTACCCATTTTTAAAAATAGGCTCTAATCGAGCAGTTTAAGTACACTACATGGTAGATTAGTATGTCCTCTAAACCTGCTGGAATACTATTCCTGAGAAGTTTGTTTTTATAGTTAAATAAAACGCGCTTTTTGAACTATGTTTATTAAAATTTGCTGAAAATTAAAAATCTCCCCTACGACATATATTTTAGTAAAAAAAAATATATAACAATAAAAAGCCGCAAAAAATATAGTTTCATCATATTACTTTGAGAGTCTGATTCAATATAGGATATTTCACAGAACAATTTCAAACAAACCCAGCATAGAAATCCGCGCTTCATTGATAAAATTTGAAATTTATATATTCGTAATTTTGACTTTAAGTTGAGTTGATTAGAACCAGTGAGGACAATATATTATATAAATATAAAAAGGCAGATAAATATAATTTTTTATTTTATCGATCTAAGAACTTATGAATAATCATTACTATGTGATTTCGATAATAAGCCAAATTTTTTCATTTAGAAGTAGCGCCCCGATTCGTTGATTTATTGAAAACACATGGTAAATTTAAGTATTAATTTATTTTTGAACTAAATTTTGATGTATGGAACATATATCATTAAATAATATTATACATTTCTACTTTAAAATAAAAATCCCCCCAAAGTTTTCACAACTTTCATCCACCCAACTCCCCTCCCCCTCCCAAAAAAAAATAAGCCCACCCCCTCGTTAATTTTTTTCTCTAACTAAAATACACATACACAACTGAAAATTTTATACCCCAAAAAATATCATGCCTTTTGAATTTTCTCTCAACGTTGATCTCTACTATTCCCATTTCAGGGAAACCCGTAGTTATTTGGAGCGGTTTTTCGAAAATATTTAAGCAAGCGCATTATTATCTGAATAAATAATCTTATTAACCAAATTTTTGAATCAATTCATTTTTATTGTATCACTTTTTATAAGCGGATCTCTAAATGCGACTAATTTATTTATAACGTTGAATCTTCTATCCCTTAAAATTAAGTGCCACTAACAAACATCCTATAAGACAAAAACCGGTGAAACTTTATGGATAACTTATTCTTAAATCAAATTTCATCACAGATTTATCCTCGATTAAAATCAGGGCTGTAATAGTAATCTCTTCAAGATTTCCGTTACCAGAATAATATTAGTGTATATTTGTTAACAATGCTGGAATAAATTTAACTCCCCAGCGAAAATCCTGAAATAAAAATATGAGCGTTTAGGGCAGTGTTCACCTTTTATACTAAATTTATTCTATTAAATCTAATTTTTTTAAATCATTTCGGAATTCGATCTCCTTTTTTACACCTTACTTATTCGATTCCTACTTAAAATTTTAAATATTTCCCCAAAAATTAGATATTGGTCATCTTTTATATTATACATTAAAAAAAATTAATTATAATATTTATATTTATTTTTTTTGGGTAATTAATTTTTAAATTTTATTGAAAACCTAATTAGGTTTAGGCGAGATTCATTGAAAAAGCTCATTTAATTTTAGCCGCTGTTTTAGGCTAGTTATAATTAGGCTCAACATATTTGTAAGCTAACGCTTAGCCGATTTATCCAGCTTATTACGCAACACTAATTATACGATAATATTGAGACATAATATATAAATAACTTACACAATTTTGACAATTTTAAACACATGTAAGGACATATAAAATACTAGACTTTTTGAATTTTTTTTAAAGATCACCATATATAAATGATCCACAAACAAAGATAAATTTAAAAATTTTTTATAATGATTCATTGCGGTAGGAGTTCAAAAAGTACCTGATTTCGTGTACTTCATTAGCAATCTCTTTACTTTATCATGATTAAAATAATATCTATACATCATAAATATTCATAGATATTTCTCAAATTATAAAAGAAATTTCAAATTTTGATAATAAAAGTTAAATTATATATTAATAAATATATTTTTTTTAAACTTAATAATAAATTAGAATCTTGACTCGTAAAACAAATCAAAATTTAACATCTCAAAATTTTATTTCTGGTATAAAATATTTTGATGGTTTAATTATTTCAAAATATATTTTTTATAGCGCACTATTAAAATTTATATTAAGGGCGAAATCTAAATAACCTAGCATCTTTAATTTTATGAAAGAATGTGGCCAAATGATTTGCCACCTCCTACTGGTTCATCTGGCCTTTGTCCGGTCTCCCCTATGGAAATAATATCTTGTTTGGACACTTTACTACATTTTTAGATGTGCTCTGGGTCTGTGTCTCATCTAGGATTATGGAAACATGAGTCATGTTAGTTTAGCTTTAAATATTTACATTTTTTTTTTAAATATTGATGAATGCCACATTTTATAATCCATACTAATCTAATCGGTATTCAAAATTTTAAACCAAATAAAATATTGGATAATAATTATCTAAATTAATCTTAAAATCACGGACTGTCACTGAAAATTAGAAGTTTAGATATTATTAAGATGATCAGCTAATTTTTACAGTAGCAGATACAAGCAGCGAATGCATTGGAAAGAATAAAACATATAATTTATACTAATTTTTATTTAATTATTTGAAATGTAATAATTTTATAAATAAAATAAATATAATAATTTTATATAAAATAAATATAATGGGATTAGTGTTCTTTTTTTTAAATTATAAAATATATAATCATTCTTCTTAATTTTTAAATTCTGTCTCTCAAGTTGCAAACCATTTGACTTGGCTTAGACGAGGCACCAACCATCACTCCTTTAAGGATAAAACTTTTTATATATTCACTCTTTTTAGCCTCCTTGAATATAGACATGTAGAGATGACCATCTAAAAATAATTTGAAAAATAAACTCGATTATAAATAGGGTATGAAAATAAAAGAATCATTTGTTTTCTTTAAAAAAACAGACATTGTTTAAAAAAAATGGAATTAGAATCCTGAAACAAAATATTAGTGACGATTTTTGAAACCGGCTAACTCAATATTTTAGCTAAATTAAATATTACACAAGACTGAAGATTTTGGTCATAGATAGCACAACTGTTTATACGTCTATTAGCGAAGCCTCCAGGCTTAGGCAATATTTTTCTGGTTAAAATATTTAGTTAGCCGTTTTTATCGGCTGAAATCGAGCCGTTTAACAACACTACAAAATATAATTTACCAGCATTTTATTGAAAATTTTTTAAATAAAAAAATTTAATTTTGAGTGTTTCAAAAGTTTGTTTAAAATATTTATTTTTTTCCGTTATTTTCTTTTACAAAAAAAAATGTTCACAATTTTCTTCGTTTTTTTTATCACCTTCAATTTTATATAAAAAATATTTTAAATGTCCTGAAATATTTTAAATGGATTTATTATTTTAAAATTAAATTATACAAAATTTTAACCCTCATTCATGGTGAGATTAAACTTCAAGAAAGATTAATTTTATCGAAAACTTAGATTTAATGATAATTTTTTATAAAAAAAATTTGTATTACTATTAAAAAATGGTTGAATTCGTTTGACACCAGCGGCTCGGGAAATTAGTTCCAGTTGGAAACCTAATATTCCTAAAATAGAATATTTAATTTAGAAAAAAATTAAATATTTCTAAAACAATTAATTGATATTATATAATTACAAACCTTTATAATGATAAATATGGATAAAATTATCCGATTTTGCTATGGCTATGAATACGTCGGGAAAGATTCCTGTCCTAAAGTGAGCTATGTCTATCACTTTATCTTCTTCGAAACTTTGAACCAGAACGAATGAGGAACTTTGAAAAATCAAAAAAAAAAAATTTTAAAAAATAAATAATATTAAATAAAATATTTTTAATCATTCCTTCTAGAGTTGTTAAAAGATACTTTTTAAATGGATCTAGATACAGATACATCGTCTAAAATAATATCTAGATACAGATATTTTAATCAAAATATCTAGATACAGATACCAAATTTTTATATCTAGATACAGGATCTAGATCCTTTAACAACTCTGATTCCTTCTAATCGGAATCTATTCTAGGGAAGCAGATTTATTTTCAATTTCTACATTTATTTATTAATTTATAGCATCACCGAGAAAATAGAAATTTACTAATAACATAATATATTTTTAAACATTCTCATATATATTATACATTTTTTTCTTTATTTTTTAAAGTCGATTTTATTTATCTCTGACTACTGTTGTTAAACGGCTCGTTTTGAGCCGATTTTTAAAAATGGCTAACTCAATATTTTAGCCAGAAAAATATTGCCATAGCCTCAAGATTTCGATAATATATGTCTAGACCTTTGTTCCTTCTATGAGCAAAATCTTTAGGCTTGGGTAATATTTTTCTGGATGAAGTATTGAGTTAGTCGTTTTAAAAAATCGGCTCAAAACAAGCCGTTTAATAA